TTGATGCTGCTGGTCCAGGAAACACACTTGGTGAAGCATAGCCCTAGGAGCAGACCTACAGCAGAAATTCACCCCCGGGTGAGGTCTCAGGTGAGGCCTGTGAGAGGGCGGGAGGCAGAGGAGGCAGGGGAAGAAGCTGGGCACACACATGGGTTCACCAGAAGTGTGGCCTCAGCCTGATCCCAGGGGGGTTGCTTGTGCAGTGCGCGCTCTTAGGAGCAGCAGTCCAGGCTCTTACAGGCTCTCCTGGGATGGGACAGGTGAGGTGGCCTCCTTGAGAGAGGGTGTAGGTAGGGATCTGGGGGAGCACATTGACAGCATGTGCAACAAGCACCTACTGTGTGCCAGGCATCATTCTCAGCATTGCCTGTACAGCAGGGAACAAGTGTGTGCCTGCCCTCCTAGAGTTGACATCCTTCTGGGAGAGACAGATAACAACAGAGGTATTGTTATTGTCAGGTAGAGTCCAGTGCTGTGTAGAAAGATGAAGCAAAGGCAGGGGTGGTGAGGGCCAGGTTGGGGGGCTCTAGGTTGGGAGGTGCAGACAGGCCTCTGCAGTGGCTCCGAGTCCTCCCTCCAGGCCCTATCTGAGAGGGGCTTCTGCGTTGGACAGAGGCCCAGCACATAGAGGGCCATGCCCAGGTCATGTTGTGGTGGCAGAGCCCAGTTAGACCAGCTTGGCTCTGAGGAAGACTTAGGAACTCTGTCCCTGTCCTGCTCCCATCAGCCTGTCCGTCCATGCCCTTGCCTGGGGCCAGGCTGTCAGAGGGCCTGCCCTGCTAGCAGACCTGGGCGGTCCCACCACAGCCTGCTGCACCTCCCAGATAGAGTATATGTTCCTGGCATTGGAGCATCTACCCCCCACCCCCCAGTCTGCCCCACTCCCTCCACTTATTTTTCACCCTGGCCACTGATGCTTTTTTTTAGAGTATCTATATCCCACAGAACTTTCTGCAGCAATGAGAATGTTCTATAAAGGCTCTGTCCAATCCAGTTGTCATAGCCACATGTGGCTACTAAGCACTTAAAATGCGGCTAGTGTAACTGAAGAACAAATTTTAATTTAAAAAAATTAAAAATGTTTTTAATTAACTTAAAATTATACGCAAGTAGCCATGTGTGGCTGGCAGCTACTGGATTGGGCAGTCCAGATCTAGAACATCAGTAGGCTACACCACCGCCTCTCACGCGACATAGCTGGCTGAGAAGGCTGCGTGCCCAGCCCTGTCTTCCATGGCCAGAAGTCGAGAAACACTGACCGATGGGCGCCTTCTCCTGTGGGAGCTGGTCCCCTTGGCTGGATCCCATGTGTGCTGTGCCTGGATGTTTGGCCCATGTAAAATGCAGTCTCTAGCTCAGAGGTCCCCGGGCTGTCCCACACGACTGCAGCATGTGAAGATCAGTACAGTGTGGGTTATATGAAAGGCCGAGTGGGCAGGCGGAGCTTTGTGGTCAGGAAGTTTGAGAAACAGGGTGAGGCAAAGTTAGAGGGGATTCTGTAGCAGGACTTCTCAGTGCCTTTAACACGCAGCATGGGCTGTGAGCTCCAGGAGGTGGGCACATAGGAGGACTTCCCAAACTCACTGATGGGGTGCCGTTGTGCTAGCCTGTTGCTGTGGAATACTCCTAGAGAAATGCTATCTCATGGTTTTGTGTCCAGAGCGCACCCCTCAGGAGGCTGGGGTATGGCTTCATCCCCTTTCAGCCTCTGCCCTCTGCTGGCTTGCTGAGGGAGGGGCAGTCACATAACGTGTTTCTTCAGCGGGTCATCTGTGTACTCATTTATTCACAGAAAGCAGTGCTTCCAGGCCTTCCATTTGCCAGACCTGTGTTGGGCAGTGGGATTGGTGTGATGAACAGGTGGAGCTGGCCGCCCTGTTCTTTCTGGGTCTGTCCCCCACCACACGTGCATATGTGCATACTGTTACGCCTGCAGGAATCCCCAGTTTGGGCGTGGTGAAGAAAGAAATTTTATTCAGTGCAAACAGCCCAGTTGTGATACAGCATGGCTGTGAGTGGGCCCTGGGGCGAGGCAGCCCTCAGCTCTGCTCTGCCCCGGGGTAGTCTGCTTCAGCCCAGCCCTGACACGTCTTCAGTCTGGTGGAAGGGAAAGTGCGCTCAGGAGCCAGAGGGGAGCCAATTTCATACAGATACATCCCTGCTTCTGGTCAGTCCATTCTCCCCCATACCTATATGAGGACTCCAGATCCTCAGTTTGGTCCAAAAGGCACTGTCCTGATTGATTAAAGTTGAGCTGAGCTGATTGGTGGGAGAAAATACTGATGGATATAGGTGTGCAGATCCAATTGGACAGGGAGAGCCTCGGTCCTATTGGTTAAAATACAATTCCAGCTCTCCTTGCGGACAAGTAATGCAGGTCCTGTGGGCACTGCTCTCAGGTGCCTTCGCTGGAGTGAGGGAGCAGAGCGAGCTTCCCCAGCCTTCAGCTGTTACCAGCCGTGTACACCTGGGTGGGTGACTGTACAGGTGCTCAGTAGCAGTGTGGGCAACCGGACAGAATGTCTCCCCTTGGCCGGTGGCCTGAGCCACAGTGGCCCCTTTGGGGGCTGACTTGGGTCTTGTCCTGCCCTCCTGCCCCGGCCTCTCGTGGGTGCCACCCCCTCCCCACCCCTTCCTGGCTCTTTCCAGGCACATGCTTTTTCTGCAGGCCTCTCCAGACCTGAATCTCTAGATCTCTCCTGGTTGGTGATCACTGAGGCCACGCTTCCCAGTTCTCTCTCACTGGAGGCCTTGGCAGTCTTACTGCCTTACTTTGCTCACTCCTTCCTGAAACCTCTGTGTCTGGCCTCCTGAGTACCTCTGCCCCCCGCCCCCCCCACACACACTCCCCATC